GCAGAATGCTATGTGCTCCCCAGCAGAGACCCCCTGAGCAGGGTGATAGCTCTTCAGTGGCTGAATAGTGGGTCAGTATAAGTTCCTAGTATAATTTAAAAAGCTGATTATAACCTAGAAAACCCTTTGTGGCTTGGGTCCTAGTTACCTTGGAGACTGTCTGCTTCAAATAGAATCTGGCTCCCCTACAAATTTGAGTCAGCAAAGTATGCTGTCTGATCGCCTCTCCACTTCTATAGAGCTAAAGGGGGGGGGGGTCAGAAAATATGCCTTTTTTGTTTCTCCACCAGTGTGGTGGTATACCCTACCCCCCCCCAAGGTAAAGATAATCCTTTTTATCAAGTAAATGAATACTATTTCACTGGACTTTTGCATCTTAAGATATTAAGGGTACTTCTATTGCATTTTTCTTGGCTGTATTATTTTACTGCAGTTTTTTAAAATTGTTTTTTATGTATAGGAAGCAGCCTAGAGTTATATGACTGGGGTGGAATAGAAATGATCTAAAATATAGAAATAAAATTGTAGTGCAAGATTAGAACTACATTTGTGAATTATGACCAACACGTAGAAGCAGAACCTGTCATTTTTTTTTAAAAAAAATGGTTATTTAGTTATTTACTGCTATTTACTGATTTGGAGATAACAATAAATTATAATTTTTAGAAACCAAAAAGTTACTATTTACTTTCATGAAAGAAGAAGAATAAATTGGCTAGTTTGAGCACAAAGACTTTTTAAAATGTAGCTATTCATTCCAATACATGAAAGAAAGAAAAATAAAGAACAGAGCATGGTTTTCTTTTTTGAGGGAGACAGTTTTGTATGGTGCTTTGAAGATACCAGGGTAGAAAGTAGGAGGCTGTGAGTTCTAATCCTGCCTCAGGCCTGTAGCCAGCTTTGTGATCTTGGGCCAGCTGCTCTCTCCCAGCCCTACAAATAAGGCAATGGCAAACCACTTCCCAAAACCTTACTGAGGAAAATGTAAGCACCATAAAACAAAACAAAACAAAACAAAACAACCACCGTCATGGGATGAAATGCATAACATAAACATAAAGGAATTTTTAAGTTAAATTTGATAAAACACATATTTTGGAATGAAGTAACAGAGAAATTATTTAAATTCTGATTTGAAATTCTACAGCCAAGTATAGTACTGGTAGTATTGAGTAATATTAGGAGTACAAATAGAGGATTCAGTGTCAGGATAGAAAGATCTTGGCTATAGACCAGGAGTCTCCAAACTTGGCAACTTTAAGACCTGTGGACTTCAACTCTCAGAATTCTATGCTGACTCCCAGAAGCTATGCTGATTAAGGAATTCTGGGAGTTAAAGTCCACAAGTCTTAAAGTTGCCAAGTTTGGAGATCCCTGCTATAGACTATCTGCCCACCCGCTCCCCTTGATGAGAAATAAAAGTCCTTACTTAGAACAGACATCCGATTCCGCTCAGTCGTAGGAGCCAACATACTGCCCACGATGCTTACTCTTTGTGTCATTTATTCCCTAAATTAATTTCTTCTTTAGGAAAGGATATCCCATTCTCTTGGTAATGAGAAAGGAAATATGTGATCCTTGCATTCTGTTTGTGGCTGTGGCTGAACTTAAGACTAACGAGATGATGAACTTGTATAGAAGATCCATGGCAACCCAGTCTTTGACGAAGAATAGTTGTGGTTATATCCCAACGGAAAGAATAACAATGGTTTGAGCGAAGAGCATATGAGCCCATTACTTTAAACAACATTATCTTGGTCTAGCAGGCTATTTGTGACATTTCAAACAACGGCACTTCTGGACAGAGGCAACAGCTGTAAGTGCCTCTTGCATATTCTTATCCATAGCAACCTAAACCATTAGCTGTCACCTTTGTGCCTTGAAGCAAGATTTTCTGAACTTCAAAGCTTCCAAACGTGCAGCCTCCTTGCTAACATCAGTAAGGCAGACACTCAGTCTGCCTGGCTCTGTTGGATTATGGGATTTGCCCTCCTTATTCACAGTTTGAGATTTATTTATTTTTTTTACTGTCTTCTGAAAGCAAACGGCAGCACTGCGTACATGGAGGAGGAGAAGCGTCTCTAGACTTCGAGGCAATCATTAGATAATCACCTCTCATTATTAAACTTTAATTTAAATTGTGTATTGAAAAGAACAAACAAACTCGTATCAAAGGAGCCTCTGGCATTTTTCAGCACTTGATTAAATTTGAGGGTGTGGGGAGGTTGAGAGCCGTGTAGATTCTTTGACTTATTTCCTCTGAGTTTCCATCTTCTGATTTCTCTCATTGCTGCAAGGAAATAATATGAATTATTGCTAAAGACTAGATCTTTCTTTTCAGATGGCTTAAACTAGAAATACAAATTCAAGAAGACTCTTTGCTGGTTGCCCCCCATAAAGTGCCCCAAATTTATTCCTCAATGTTTCCCTTTCTTATTAATTTTTCATCAGCATGTTCATACATTTTCATACTTAATTCTTCAAGTTTTCCAACTCTGGGTTCTTATGTGTAATATGTATCTTGTCCATCCTACTGTCAATTACTTAGAAAACTGTCCCTATATATTTAATTGCAATACATCATATAACTTGCTAACTCTGAAGTTCAGGGGCTGGAAATAGAGATTCAGAAGTATTTCTAGTAGAAAATGATTTATGTAACATTAGTATTTGAACAAGTTATATATTCCTTTCCTACCGTTGATATTCCAAAAAGAAGCTTAAATTCTTTGTTTTACATTTCCATCTTCTCTTACTTTGATGGGAAATGCTTGAAAGGGGAAGAGGGGAAAAGTTGTAGAGCTCATCATTACAATTTCACAGAATTCAAAGAATAATCACACAGGCAATTGGCCTGGTAGGGTATTTGAATTTGAAAAATCAAAGGTAGAGGTGGGTGAAAATTGCCCCAAATAATTGCCCATTGGTATAAAGCTACTTCAGAGTGATGCAACAAAGCAGTATGACAATACTAGCCAGTTTAATATAATTCTGCATGAAAGATCATTTTCTCACCTAGAGTTTAGCTGCTTCAGAATGATTCTGTTACCCAGTCTGAATTAATACTAGGATAACTTTATATAGATATAGGGATATTATATTAGGTAGACCTGTAATAGTGTACAGTGATTATAAGAGATTATAAACTTCCTCCCTCCCTCCCTTCCCCTTCAGTGTAAATACTATGGGATAATCCAATCTGAAGGAAAATGGTCAGCTTCTTTCTCAGGGATCAGAATCTTCTTATCCCAGGAAATATATTTGTCCAATTTATATATTAGGTACCTTGCAACCTAACTGCAATGTGTACAACACAGCTTACAAAATAAAACATCCAATTCCGTATCCATATAACCTATTCATAAAATTCAACACCAGTTTCCAACAAAGGTTAGTGTGAACCTTTTCAAGCGATCCAGTTTGAAAAGATAAATACAAAGGTATATAAAAAACAAAGTAGTTAAAAACCAAATGAAAGTAGCAAAAACGGGAATTACAAAACCTTGTTAAAGACAGCCACCCGCTGGAATCTATTATTTTTCCCTTGTATAGGACCATTAGAAAGGCTCTTTGCTGTTGCTTGTCAGCTTTACAAGCCTCAGTAGCAAGTCAACAGATATGACATCAGCAGGTTCATGAGGTTGAGCCTCAAAGCATCCAAGCACAGGTTCCTTCTTTGAAATTGGATCTGGAAATATTCTGACGATCGGGGAGTCTGGTACAAAACTGATTCATCCCTTTAGCTTCATCCAAGATGCAAGAGGCCACATTTTACCTTAATTAAAATGTCTGAAACATTTTCAGAGATAGCCTCTTTGTGTGTGACAAATACTGTATACATTGCTGAAATGTAGTTCTTTTTTCTCCAGATAGGGATAGATTTGATTTGATTTTGATTTTATTAAATTTATACCCCACCCTTCTCCCGGAGGACTCAGGGCGGCTTACAGCCAGTTTAAAACAATGATATAATACAATACAAAATGGACCAACCTAGTTGGTAAAGACAGTTGCTGAATTACGCTTACCCATGCAACACCGAATTAAGAAACTCATCTAAAATACAGAGTTGACCATGTAATCTTATCAAAGATCACTTGAATCCCATATCCAAACTTTTCCCACCCACAATCTTGCCTGGATAAATTTTTGCTTCTTCTCCCACCTCCCACCTCGCCATCCATCCATCCCTAGACTGCCTTCAGACAGCTACTCAAGAGTTTCATACCCTGCCTGGAATCAGGAAGTAGAAAATGGAATTATCTTCTACATGTTGATCCTACAGTAGCTCAGAACTCCCAAGCGACTTTTCTCCTTTAATTGCGAAGGAAGCTTGCATTATCCCAAATAAAAATGTGAATTATCCAAAAAAAGTCAAGTCTGCAGCAGATGACAACAGATCTTACACACTGTATTCTTTGACCCCTTTGTGATTTTTTTTGTTCTAGCAGCAGAATTTTAAATGATTTTTTATAATTAAAGTGTAATAAGTGAAAATGGCAAGTGAATAATAAAAGTGTATGGGAAAGTAGGCCATGCTGTCACAACAGAGACAAAAGAGAGTTGCTGTAGCTTATCGAGATGTGTAAGATTATAGTTGGCTTGGCTATGTATCTCTTGGTAAGATAAGATAAGATAAGATAAGATAAGATAAGATAAGATAAGATAAGATAAGATAAGATAAGATAAGATAAGATAAGATAACCTTTATTGTCATTTTTATACTGTGGGCACAATGGCACACATCAAAAATGAAATTTAGTTGCCCGCTCTCAAAGTGAAACATATACATGACACACACCTAAACATACTATGAACAACATATGTATAGACCCACATCCCTACATATATATATATGTATGTAGTATACTGTTCATCATCTCCCTTTTTCCTCCCCCTCTCTCATTCTCTCCCATGTTCTTCTCTTTTTATTAAGGTACATGATCACATCCCTAGACCGAACACACGCCGGCTTCTACCGCTGCATTGTGCGCAATCGCATGGGGGCCCTGCTGCAAAGACAGACTGAAGTTCAAGTGGCATGTAAGTGCTGATGAGTCCTATTCCTCCAATGGTTTAGGAATGCAAAAGGCATCCTTCTATAACAAAGACAGCTTACAAGTCAAAAGGGCGGCCAAGATTGTCATGTTGCCTGAATTAATGTTTGGACCACTTGTTAAAAATGGGATAATGAGATTAGGATTTTAAAAGGCTTAAAAGGTGCAGTGCACATTATGGAAGACCTCTCCAGAGTGGAAGGAGTACTTCAAGCAAAAAGGAGAAAATTAACTAAGGGGCAAAGCTGTATGGAAGAGCATGTCACAGAATACCAAAGGAAGTTATAGTTGATTAGTTAAACAAGGACTTTGATTCTGTGAGTCTGAAAACACAAAAGAACCATTCCTAAGACAATGCAGGATAAAGGGATCTCTTCAACTGCAATTTGTGTTCCCTATTTAGGGGTTTGCCTTTTATTATTACATTCATGTATTTTGTTATTTTATACTATGAACCTTTGGACAGCTTAGAAATGCAGTCACTTGCCCCAAGTTGTTTTGCCAAGTTAATCACGAGATTGCTGTGGATTTCCTTCTGACTGCAAGCAGCCCCCTTTCTGCACTTTATATTGTCTTCCCCATCAAAGTCAGGAAATTTTGCTAATTTCAACAATAAATTAGGTAAGATGGCCATGGTACTTTATGGTACCTTTAAGATTTCTTATTTTTTTAAAAAAATCAACCAGGATTTATCCTTGGTCACTGACAGAACAGCCAATCAGGTTTTAACAATTAAGCAAAGTTTGGATGATCCTTAATAAGCAAAGTTAAGTAAGAAATTACTGGGGGCTCAGTTGAGCCCTGCAAAATGGAATTTGCACCAACAACTGGAAAAGAAAAGTAGGCAAACTGAAATTAACAGAAAATCTCTTTCTTAACAGTGTGAGTTATGAACTATATGAAAAGAACGCCATCAAACCAGGACTTCTTTCACCTTTTTCAGATCGAGATTAGAGGAACGTTTAAAGGACATCGCTCAGTCAACTGCAAAATTTTAGATATCGGAATCATGAAAGGAAATTCTATAACTGTGCTCTATATATTAGAAGTCACCTTCCAGGCTTTATCACAATTTATTAATCCTCTGTCAACAATAAGCTGACCTTTGATAGCTGTGCCAAATCATAGAACCTCAAATCACAAAGGCAATGTCTGCTTCTTCCATGCTGAGAGATTACACTCAAATGTCTTTTTTTTTTTCATTGGTTGCTTCTCTTTTTAAAGCTCTTTCAGATTGCACATCATTATTTGCAAAATTTCAATGGCAAGTGAGACCTGAATTTTTCTATTTTCACGTAATAGTTTTGACCTTTGGTCCCTTAAGATTACTGTGAGGAAGAAAGCTTTTGGGGGTTTGAGGGTCATCAGAAGATCTGGAAGCTGGATGGCTAAGAGAGCATAAAGGGGCTGAAATAGCTGTGGGAACCAGTCAGCAGGTTAAGGGATAGGTTAGCATTATAACAACCTGGGCAACTTGACGATGTGTGGACGATGGCTGGCTGGGGAATTCTAGGAGTTGAAGTCCACACATTGTCAAGTTGCCCAGGTTGAGAAACGCTGTTACAACACATTTCATTAAAGTTTGTGGAAATCCAGTTTGAGAAGCTCTTTTGTTGAAATGTTAAATCCTTTGGATAATTTTTAACAAAAGCAAGCCTTTCTCCACCACAACGCTTTCTGGAAGGCAGGGAAAGTAAACAGCATTTATAACAATTACAACACCATTGCCTGTCGCAGGGATAAGCTGCCCGTATAAATCAGATCTAGTCTCTCCAACATGCAGGGAAGAAGGCTGAAACATTAATGACCAAGCTTCAGCCGGCAGGAGAATCTGGATTAGGTCAATGGCACCTAGGGCAATTAACTGGGGGATCTTACACCTTGCCACTGCAGAGTATACTCTCTGGGAAGTAAGAAGGGAGGGATTTTATCTGGGATAAGAAGTAATTTGGAGGACCACACTTCGGAATATAGGAATATTTATAAGTTTTAACACAGCCTTCTGATATAGGTAGTCCTCGTTTTACGACCACAATTGAGCCCAAAATTTCTGTTGCTAAGCAAGACATTTGTTAAGTGAGTTTTGCCCCATTTTACGACCTTTCTTGCCACAGTTAAGTGAATCACTGCAGTTGTTAAGTTAGTAACACGGTTGTTAAGTGAATCTGGGTTCCACATTCACTTTGCTTGTCAGAAGGTTGCAAAAGGGGATCACATGATCCCGGGACATGGCAACCATCATAAATATGAATCAGTTGCCAAGCACCTGAATTTTTGATTATGTGACCATGGGGATGCTACAACAGCCGTAAGTGTGAAAAACAGTCATAAGTCACTTTTTTTGAGTGTCTTGGTAACTTTGAACAGTCACTAAATGATTGTAAGTCGAGGACTATCTGTAACCTAGGTATCTAGATATGTTAGCTCTGCAACACACACACAGCCAACTTACTATCTTACATCCTAAAAGGGACTCTTATGGGATTGTAGGTTCAGGATTTCTAGCAGCCTCCTGCAAGTTTCCAAAAATCTCAAGCAAAATATGAGGAATTGAATTGCAACGTATCTACTGAGCAACAGTTTGGAAAGGGATGGTTTAATCTAGCTACACCAGAAATCTTAGATATGACTTGTGTGGGTAACCTATAAGGCATCTGCATATTGCTGAATTACAGCTCTCAGCACCCCACTAGTACAGCTAATGATGAAGAATGACTGGAGTTGGAGTCCAGCTGTATATGAAGAATCACAATCCTTGAACTAGGAATAACAGAATAACAGAATTGGAAGGGACCTTAGAGGTCTTTTAGTCCAACCCCCTGCTGGAGACCCTGTACCATTTCAGACAAGTGGTTGTACAATCTCTTCTTAAAAACACCCTGTGATCAAGCACCCACAACTTCTGAAGGCAAGGTGTTCCACTGCTTGTTTTCACGGTCAGGAAATTTCTCCTTAGAAGAAGCAGGTGCAATGTAACATTCAAGAAACAGATGTAATACAGCATTCAGTTGTGGGGAAGAAAGGGGGGAACTTCCACCCTAATTCTTCTCAGCACAATGGAACTTCTGTTCATAAATAACTTGGGGGATGGAGGACTGTACAGGGGGTAGTTCTACATTTATTTACTTTCATAGCTTAATAATCTTAAGTTTTCAAAGGGTCAAAACTAGTCCTAATATTAGGCAGAGCAAAGGAAACATTTTAGACGGTTGATTTTGTTGATTTTTCCTTTTATTCTAAAAGGACAGCAACTTTTAGCTTGTCAGATTTGTTATGGAAAGCCTAGCTGGTGAGGTGGTAAAGGCATCACTCTAGAAACTGGGAGACTCTAAGTTCTAATCCTATCTTAGACACAACACCATCTGGATAATGTGGGGCCACTCACTTTATTTAGCCCTTTCAAAAATGTTGACAAGAAAACTGTAGAGACCTGTCCATACAATGCACCAGGAGTCAAGACGGAGTCAAAAATATACAAAAAAAAAATTACAGCTGTATTCATGGTTTTTTTTTTCTTGAGGCAGTAAGATAGCTTAGCTCAGTGATGGCGAACCTTTTAGAGACCGAGTGTCCAAACTGCAACCCAAAACCCACTTATGCATCGTCAGGTGCCAGGTGGGTGTGGCCCATTGGATGGGTGTGGCCAATTGGGTGGGCATGGCTGCAGTGATAGCAGACTGGGTGGGACTTAAAAGTTCAATCAATCAATTCCAACTTTGCAAGATCTTTTTTTTTCCGCGAGAAGTTGAAATTGACTGATTGAACCTTTTTTTTTTTTTTTTTTTTGCACACGGCAGCGGAGGCCTAAAGCGAAAAGGTTTTATGAAACCCAGCTGAAGGCCTAGGACTGGGGCGACGGTGCGCGTGCCCACAGAGAGAGCTCTGAGTGCCGCCTCTGGCACTCGTGCCATAGGTTCGCCACCATTGGCTTAGCTGGTCTTAGGTAGGCATTCAAGGAAAGCATGGCATCAGGCTATACTGTGTTTCCCCGAAAGTAAGACTTACCCCGAAAATAAGCCCTAACTTGATTTTTGAGGGTGGGCCTAATATAAGCCCTACCCCCAAAATAAAATCAAGCTAGGGTGGGGGGGGTGGAGCTGCCCCACGCATCCCGCACCCACTTACCAGACCTCCTATGAATCAACACCTGCCTCTCCTCGCCAGCCCACTTCTGCAGTGTCCCCTGGCCTGCATTTTGCTGTCAGAGGCCTTTCTAGAAGGCCTCTGCAACCGAGAACCAAGTTATGGATTCAACCCATAGTTCATTTCTTGGTTGCAGAAGTCATGTGGAAAGGCCTTTGATGGCAAAATGCAGACCGGAGCTCCATTCTCGGCTGAAGAATGAAGCTGCTCCTTTGGCCACAGAAGAAGTGGGTGGGCTGGGCGGGGCTGTCGGTGCCGCTGCCGTGAGGTAAGTGGAAAAGACACCCACTCACCCCAAAATAAGACCTGGTGCCTCTTTTGGAGGCAAAAAAAAAAAAAGATCCGGTCTTATTTTCGGGGAAACACCGGTATGAGAAGCCGCCTTTTTACAGCAAAAGGCTTGGACTGGCAGTATCTGTCAAATCAACATGGTTTGAGGGCCTTAGAAGCTCAGAGATGAAGACTTGCTGAGGCAGAAGAAGAAAATTCAAGAAAGCAACAATGAAAACAGAATAGGCATTTTAATTCAAGCTTCAGGCTTGGTTGTTTGCGGGCCTCTGAGACTTTCTATGTTCTTATGCAATAGAGCCCAGCTGTGCGTGCAAAGAGGGATGTCATGCAACTAAGTCTAGCAAAATAATCTCTCCTGAGGAGGACTAGGCATTAGTGAAAGATCAGATGCTGGAGAGCTTCCCAACTGATAAAAATACTGCTAAGAATTCCATTCTTGCTATGGCAGTGATGTCACAGTGACGTTACTTCTATCTTGTTTCCTCCTCTTTTTTCTGTCCTGGTTACCCCTCTGTCATTTTTTTTTTTTTGGCCTGTATCTGCAAGAGTTTATGTTGTTAGCAATTCAGAATCCTGAGTCAGAGTTCCAGTAAGGTATCAGGAGGATTCTGAATCAGAAAAAAAAGGCAGAACTAATGTATGAGGAATTAACATTCATTGATACACTTCAATATTAAGAAGATAAAGAACCAAAGCCTGCCATCTTCTGACAATGTATGCCTCTATCATAGTGAGTTGCTGCTGCACTGTTATGCTACAGATATGGAATGGCAGAATCAATTTCCTTATTGTGGCATTTACTCTCCTTTGTGTACTTAGTTACTTGCAGCTATAAGCAGTTGATTGAAGAAAAGGCTACTATCTCTCTGGTGCATGTGGTTTTGTTTTTTAAGGGCTGTTCTGCCACAGCTTCAAGCTTCATAATGAAGTCGAATGTGTGTGAAGCCTGAAGTTGATATCTCCAAAGATACCTCCTTAACTTCCCTCTGATGGTCCTTACTAGATGTAGTCCCAAATTGGGAATCACCCTAAGTGGACTTAGTGCTTCATCAGCGTTCTTCAAATGAAGATCTATGAGCCAATGATCTCTGCCACAAAAGAAAATTAAAATAAAGAGAACCTGTGGAAAGTGTTGGCTGGGGGTGGGGGGAAAGGGCATCTTATGGCTTTTAGTTTGGAAATGTGCTGCAAAGACTCAAGATTTAGTGTGCCAATTTTCAGGACTCCTTGCCTTTCTGTCAGGGAGAACGATCTTTTTCCCCTTCCCGCAATTGGGAAAAGGAAATAATTGCTGTCAAAAGATTGGGAAAAAGCAGCTCTGTGAGCATCTCCTAACCTTAAGTTCATAAATCAGTTTCCACAAACTGGGGAAAAGTGTTACAAACATTAAAAAGAGCCTTAAGAAACTAGTGTTCCTGGGGCCTCAGCCAAGCAAGGATCTGGGGGTGAGGGGTTGCTTTCACTTTCACCCTTAGCCTGGATCAGAGGCGTAGCGTGGGGGGTGCAGGGGGGGCCGGCCGCACCGGGTGCAACATCTGGGGGGGCGCGCTCGCACTCGCAGCTCTCTGCCCCTGCCTGGCTCACTCACTCTCTCTGCAGTGCTGGCTGTGCGAATCCGATCCGAGCCGCCGGGTCGCCGACGCCGCCCACTGTGGAGGGGGGGGTGCCTTGCCCCGGGTGCTGACAACCCACGCTACGCCACTGGCCTGGACTAAACCCAGCTCTTAGGGAGCCTGCCTTAAAATCCCGTTCTGTTGTTCCACTTTGCCATTTTGCCATTGTCCCCTCCCCAAAGCAGCCCCTTCTCCAAAGGTTGATGGCAAATCAGGCAGCTAATAGGAAATTAATCAGGCAGCTGTGGATGCTGCTAATGGCCAAGTCGTTAAAAAGAGATTCTTTACACGTTTTTAATTACAGCAATTAAATCAAGTCAATAAAATGTCTCCCCCACCCCCACCCCCACCTCCCATTTTGCCATTAGTACTATTATTATTAAAGGTGCTATAAATTTCCTACCCACAAACAGCTGCGCCATGAGGAGGCCCTGACCTCCATCTCTTCAGCGACAAGGTTGCGGTTTACATTGTGCGAGGAGAAGAAAGGCTCCCCGCTGTAGATACCCATGTCTGAAAGCGATTTGGCCATTTTTAGGGGTCAGCGAGAATGGGCACACAAGAGGTACGATTCACAACAAATGTCTACCAGCAGTAGAGGAGAATGCTCTGAATGTGGAAGAACAAAGCTTTGTTTGCTGGGTCTGTGTGTGAAAGAGAGTTTGTTAACCACAGGTCAGTGCCAGTGTAAAGCATGTGAAACATTCATTTGTGTGGCTTTTGCTCTAAAGTATCTGGAGAGGCACCTTAATAACTGCGTTTTAAAGAGGTTTGCTCCCCCACTGCAGCTTTTGGCCATTTCTTGCGATACAATTTTTTTCCCCCAAGAAGCTATAGAAGGCATGTTTTATTGTGTCAGTTGTGAAGGGTGCTCATTCACATATATAAATTGCCACCTTTCAAAGAACACACATGCAGTGACTAAGAATGGTCCTGCCATATTACTCCTGTATATTTTGCAAAGAGAAAACTGTCATTTATATGGATACCCTTTCATACCTTGTACATGACATGGGCATTCTGGCACTTAGCAATCCATTGCCCAAATCAAAATACTACACAAAGCCACTTGCTTTGTGTAAAGAAAAAGCTGAGCAATCTATCAGGGTTCCAAGGGTAGGAAAGACCTGGGTCTTTGGGTTTTGTTAGCTGTGAAAAATTGGAACTTTAGGTTTTTTAGCCACTTTTGTCCCTTTCCTAAAAGAATACACAAAGGGCAGATTCTGGTGTGTTCTTGCCTGGAATTGGGTGGGTAATTGGCAGCCCAGAAGCTGCATGCAGCCCTATGAGAAACATTGTATTGCCTCCCAAGGCTTTGCTCTTTTTTAAACAATTCGAACACAGTTTAATTAAGCTTTTGAACAGAGTTTCACATTTATTTTATGTAAAATAAAAAAGCCACCGCCACCACCCCAGTCCAAAGGCTGAAAATGTTGGGTATAATTATTCCAACAACATTATTGCATCTCCTCAGTGGCCCTAGTTCTCTGAGAATAATCATGATAAAACTGAAGGTCCAAAGAGTGACAGATGGTGAGATGTAAACTTCATTGAGTAACTTAATACAGTTGTGATCTATCAGGATGCATGGATGAGCTCTTCTCTTCCATGGTTTCAGGCAGAGAACAATAACAACAACATCATTTATGAACAAATTGCTAGATAGTGATGATCAGCTGCATTCAGAATTGCTGGACATAATTTGTGCATGATTTAGGTCTTCCCCACAGTGAATCATTGCCTATTCTTACCTTGCCTTGTGGCTCCTACATTCTTACCCTGTCCTATCCTAATCCCATAACTGGAGATGGTTGACTGAATGCATACATGAATAGCAATAGCAATAGCCCTTATATACTGCCCCATAGTACTTTACAGCACTCTCTGGACAGTTTGCAATGTCAGTATATTGCGACCAATAATCTGGGTCCTCATTTTACTGACTTTGGAAGGATGCAAGACTGAGTCAAACTTGAGCTTGTCAGGGTTGAACTCCTGGCTATGGGCAGAGTTAGTCTGCAATGCTTCATTCTAACCATTGAGCCACCAAGAATGCCTGCATGCTCAAAATGTGAAAGGTAGAACAGGTAGAATCTAAAGTGTTCTTAAACTGGCAAATGCTATTTCTTATTTATTTATCTATTTATTCATTCATTCTTTGTTTGTTTATTTATTAAATTTGTTTGCTACACATTTTGGCATAAAAAGACTCTAGGCAGCTTACAACATTAATATTATTATTACAACATTACAACACTATTATTTTCCACTTCATCTTAGTTCCTTTACCAAGGTGGATAGCATGAAGGTACCCACATGCACACATACTTTAGGGTGGTAGACCTGACTATATTGTATCTTGGTAGTTCATATTTATTTACTGCTGTTTCTCTCTCCACTCTCTTAACCCGTATCCGGCTCAGACATGGGAAGCTTTGAAGAGAAAGAGAAGCAGCAGAGCGTCTCACATGGTGAAGCCGCCGTCATCCGTGCTCCCCGCATTGCCAGTTTTCCTCGTCCACAGGTCACGTGGTTCCGCGATGGGCGCAAAATCCCTCCCAGCAGTCGCATGTGAGTAAAAAAAAAAACACCCATTCTGTGAAAAATACTGAGGTAAAAGTTATTTCATAAAACTGGATGCTGCTTACTTTTCTTTGGAGTAGGATCTTATAAGGTGGCTAGCCAATATTGGTGATAGCCCTAGAGCAGCAGACCCCCAACCTTTTGGACACCAGGGACCGGTTCCATGGAGAGAGGTTTTTCTGCAGACTGGAGGGGCTATGGTTTTGTGTGCTGCCTGCATCCCGCGGATGGGGCTTTGCTTGTTTGCATGGACCCATTTCAAGCTATGCCGCCGCCCAGTTTTGGCCACGGACCTGGGGTTGGGGACCCCAGCTCTAGAGAACATGGAGACCTTTGCACCTGAAAGATAGGAGAAGTGGCCCTGATACAATGCTACCTTTGGGGACTTTCAGAACTCCTTTACCTGCTCTCACTTCCCTTTCCACCTGGGAATACTGAATACAATGGCTCCTCAAAGAGAAGCTTGCCTTTCATCCCTTGCTAATTACTCGCCTGCTTCAGGGGTTGTTTTCCACTCTGCCTCTGAGGTACCACCAAAGCACTATTTGCAACTCAGTTCCATTTGAGTGGCTTGGCTGAAAATAGCCATAGCTTTCTACTTTCTTTAAATATATCATACTCTAATGTTCCAGATGACGACCAGTGATGATTCTTATATTTATGCCCCAATGAGTTGAACTTTAACCTGAAAACTGACTACAGGTAGTCCTCGACCTACAACAGTTCATTTAGTGACTGTTCAAAGTTACACTGAAAAAAGTGATTTATGACTGTTTTTTCACACTTACAACCATTGAATCATCCCTGTGGTCACATGATCAAAATTTAAATGCTTGGTAAATGACTCATATTTATGATGGTCGCAGTGTCCCGGGGTCATGTGATCCCCTTTGGGACCTTCTGATAAGCAAAGTCAATGGGGAAGCAACTTAACAACTGCAGTGATTCACTTAACAATTGTGGCAAGAAAGGTCATAAAATGGGGCAAAACTCACTTAAAAAATGTTTCACTTAGCCACATAAATTTGGGGCTCAGTTGTGGTATTCATATTGTTAATAGAAGCAATTTGCTTCACCATTAGTATGTGAACCAACTCTAACCCCATTCCCCAAAGCCAATAAATAACAAATAACAAAGTAGTGAATATGAGTAGTGAATGTGGGCAAAATCAACAAATACTACAGATATAGTAACTTACTCATATGTTGCATTTTAAACTCAGTGTTTCCAGCTCAGGGTCCTTGCTCTCTTGCAAGCACCGAAGTGTGTCTTTCTCACCTTCTCCTCATTAGTTCCTCTATTCAGCTGCTGTGTTTCTTCCAAGAACCCTGATGGTTAATGAAGGGACTTAATACTCTCAGATCCAGAAACATCAACAGGGGGTCTAAAACTGATGCTGAAATCTTGATAGATGAAACATGAGGGTGAGGGTACATATAAGCAGTCCGATTATAGTTAGAAATACTATTTGGCCGATAAACTAATTAAAGAAAAAAAATACGATCTGGCAACATGTGCAGCTGTCAGACTATTGTAGGCCAAGATGAAGTCCTCCAGCCACGAGATACATTTATAAACGAGACCCAGAACATGCCCATAAAAAAGTAACCTTCATCCCCAATGGAAAGTCATGAGGCAGACACATTAGCTGCCCTGTTTATCTGAAAGAATCCTTGTCACGTCTAGCTTTAATGGAGAAAATGCTAGGGAATGCAGTTGAATGTGTTCTTGTTAAACTAACATTAAAGATGTTTAACAGATGTCTTAGACTCATCACATTAAAATCTGGAGATAGACTTGATAAACTAATGGCTTTGTTTATCATGGAGAAAATGAATTTAAGCAAGAGGGAGGGGGAAGAAGAGCGCTATAAGGAGGGGCATCTGTTCATTCTTATGAGCTGTAATATTCGATTCAGGAAAGGGGAAAAATTGCCAAGATTCTCAACCCAGACAGAGACATTCATAGTAAGGTGCAGCAATACCCTAGCACCAAGAATAATTTTTAAGAGTGGAAGTTTACCTGGCAGCTACCTCTCTCTTTATATGCTCGCAGACATTATTCACATAAAGGGCATGAAGGAAAGGGGTATGGAGACCATTAATACTAATTCATATATAAGGAAAGTATGACACTGAGAAAACGGTATATTCATTTACTGTATTTGTTCCACAATATGTGAAGAATTATGCTTCTTGCTCCCGATAGCTAATAGAGCTGTGTTTTATGAGCAGCATCTCTCCGTACTTGTTCCATGGAATCCTTCACAGACTTCAATCAATCAATCAATTAATCAGAATAGAGCTGGAAGGACCTTAGAGGTCTTCTAGCCCAACTCCCTGCTCAAGCAGAAGACCCTATATAATTTCAGACAAATGGTTGTCCAGTGTCTTCTTGAAAACCTTCAGTAGTGAAGCACCCACAGCTTCTGAAGGCAAGCTGTTCCACTGGTTAATTGTCCTCACTGTTAGGAAGTTTCTTCTTAATTTCAGGTTGCTTCTCTCCTTGATTAGTTTCCAACCATTGTTTCTTGTCCTGCCTTCTGGTGCTTTGGAAAATAAGCTGACCCCCTCTTCTTTGTGGCAGCCCCTCAAATACTGGAATACTGCTGTCATGTTACCCTCTAGTCCTTCTTTTATCTAGACTAACATAAATCCAATTTCTGCAGCTATTCTTCATATGTTCATTCATTGGCCCCAAATGCAGTTTAGCAGTCAAAGTTAAACCATAATAAGTAGTGAGATTGCTCAGTTCTCTCACATAGGCTACTCATAGGAATGTATAGGTGTACACATTTGCAGTAGGTTCCTTTCTCCAAGGAGTTTCTTAGGATGCTCATTAGAGCAGCAAGTATGAAAGTGGACCCTACTTCATTGTAGTGAAAGGTCTGTTGAGTTGCCTGGCACGGAACAACTGGTGTGAATGGAATGTAGAAAAGAACTATACCAAATTACCTCCTTTTTTGCCTCCATAAGCTGTGTTTGAACAAGAGAATGCCTCATTAAGGCATTCTCAAGGCAAAACATCAGTAAGATTGCTGTTGTAATTCTGGACTAATTTCTTTATAAGCTGTTTCTCCCAAACACAATAAAAACTGATTCATTTTTAGAATGTTGTGATGGAAATATGCTTGTTTCTTTGTGGCTGTGCAATCATTCACCAAAATAGCAGGTCTGCAATTAACACTTTGACTCTGTCTTCACCTATCTTGATATCCTGTTTTGTGTTATCTACCCAACTATCTTTCAGGAGCCAAAGTGAAAGCTCCAATTTCAGATATATGTAAAAATGTTTCTTTGTAATCTCTACTAGTCAGGCAAGTACATCTTAGCTTTATCTCTGGGACGTATGTAATGGGAGAATGATCCTGAGTTTTCCTACATAGTGGAAATAGTACTTTTATTACTATTGGGGTAGGTTGTGGTTTCAAGACATTGAAGAAATGAAGAATATAGAATAACTTTACAATTAATGACATATTTCTCCAGTAGCGTGAGAACTCCAAGAGGCAATTCAGTCATGAGATATTGGATAGTTCTGAATGTGTGAACACTTAGATTGTGGTTATCACAGTTTTGGAAGAGTGTAATGTATTGTTTCCCACCCAAAACTACTTCCTAGCGAGAAGTAGAAACAAGAAATATGTTATCAGACCTTCTCGGTGCCAACTGACTGTCTCTGAATAAGCAATTTGTATCTAGTGAATTTAGAACTTTGCATACATTACTTGGTTCACAGAGAGCTCTCAATTACTTGAGAGCAATATATAGAATACAGACAGATCAGCCACCACACCCTATATTCCCCAGCTTCTTTTTATGTACACACAAAGCTCAGCATATTTAGTTCCATATAGTTTCAAAACAATGTACAAGCAGAGTTCTTAATAAGCTGAACTCTCTTAATATTTCCCCACTGGGATTCATCGGACTCCCGCCCTGACTGCATTAAAAAAAAAAAAAAATCCTTGAAAACATGGCTCTTCCCACAGGCCTTAGATTAGAGAGAGTGATGGGCCATGGGTATTTTAAAATTCAGATTGGTTGTTTTCTTCCAAACATTTCGAGGTTTTTTTCATTTGTATTTTATTACTGTTTTTATTGTATGCCACCCAGAGTTTGTTAGAGTTGGATAGCCTCATGAATACAAATAAATAAATACATTTCTGTAAAAAAATAAATTAGCTTTAGTGTTGTGATCCCCTGCCACTGCTTTTCCCACAATTAGCAACATCCAGATTTTGGACTTCATAATGAACAGGAGATTCAAACAAGTACTTTCATAAATCTATTTTGAAGATATTGTTGCATTAGCACACATAATTATTTTGCTTGCTGTTGTTAATTTTTCATGTAGTTTTGTTGCATTTGTCGTTTCTTGATTTTTTTTGCTATTATCATTTGTAAGCTAGTTAAAGGACTCTATTTGGAAACAATAGATTAAACAATAGGTTCACATGATAGAGTCAGATCATTACAACTGATTTAATTCTCTGGCATTCATTCATTGTTTGTTTGTTTAGTGTCAGAAGCATCGCGATTAAAGTAAGGCTTACTATAGGAGATAAAATTTAAAATATAAAGTACAAAATGAAAATATGTACAAATTAAACAGATCTTGCCCAGAAACCAGCAACATTAATTGAGTTCTATCAGGCTACCATGAGATCCTCGGCTGTAAGTGTAAATACCCGTTCATTTATAATAATGGACCATCAAAACTAGTTCATATTACTTACAAAAGTATTTAAATGTGGCATAGTATGTTCACTGCAAATATTTTATTGCTTGCTCATAATTTCCATCTTTTCTTACTGCTTGTAACTTTGTGCTTAAATAATACACTATCATTCAAGGGTTAATGATAATAAACAGTAGTAATAGCAGGAAAAGCAAATAATAAGATTTCACAATAACTAAGAACAGGAAAATTAAAGAAGGAGATGGAGGGGCTAATTCTGCTTTCACAAGTCCAAGCCTTAAGAACA